GGTTGCTTGCGTAAACATTTTAAAGGAAATGACTTTAGGGTACCTCGAGATTCGTTGTCCTCGGCGTCGGCGTCGTGGTTTCTTAAGCTCCCTATGAGCGAGCGGAGGCGGCGGCTGAAATTCAGGCTAAAAATTCCTGAGAGGTAAAGAATATACGTCGGTACAATATATGTACCTATACACCACGTACCCACCACTAGGACAGCGCTTGGTTACCAAGCACTGTCCCAACCTCGTTCCCAGGGTCCTCTCTCTTCCTTCCTCGAGAAGAGAGAGAACCCTGGGAACGATCGTGAATCATGGAGTCAGTTCTATGTTTTGCCGTTACCTCTATAGCTCTTTACATGGGATACTACTTAGCCTTCGTTGTGAGGAAACCGCAGATTATTTCCAAGCCTGGATCAGGCATTTCACTGTTTATCAAGGAACGCTGCCCATTTGTCAATCAGTTATATTGGCCGACATTTTGGTGTTTTGGAGGCCGTGCTCAGACGTTGGTAGCAAGTGTTCTGAAGTCACACCCCTTGGTTGTTTACGACAGAGAACTGATTCACACAAATGATGGTGGAGAAATTGCGCTGGACTGGGTTAATAACTCTGGCTCTAGCAATCCTCTGACCGTATTAATTCTGCCTGGTTTGACAGGAACAAGTCAACATAACTACATCCTTCATTTTGTGTTACAAATTACCCAGAAACTAGACTGCACACGGGATTAGGTGGTTTGATGTTAAAGACTCCGCGTGTATGTTGTGCTGCAGACACAGAGGACCTGGAGTATGTTATTTTTCATATTAAAAAGTCACGACCTAACCTTCTCCTTATGGTTACAGGCATCTCTCTTGGTGGCTTAATTTTGACAAACTTTTTATGCAAAATGGGAGAACAAGGAAAGAGTGATATCCATGATACAATCGTTGGTGCTGCTGTAATTTCTACTCCATGGAATTTATTCAAGACATCTAAATCATTGGAGCAGCCTTTAAATCATCTTTTGTTTAATCGTCATTTAACTAATCTTTTAAAAAATGTCCTTAAACAACAGCTATCGTCAAATAAACTTTAATAAGTTTGAAATACCTTGTGACATGAATCAGGGTTTAAAATCAAGCACAGTGAGAGAACTTGATGATAGAATCGTGGCACCAATGTCTGGCTATAAAGACAGCAATGAATATTATGCTGCAGCAACTCTTCATAATAAACCTGTTGATAAGATTAATGTGCCGCTACTGTGTTTGAATGCTGCTGATGATCCATTTGCTCCAGAGGACTCCATTCCATATGATTTGCTTGGTAGGTGCCCCAATGTTGTAATGGTGTTAACACAATATGGTGGACATGTTGGTTTTACGGAGGGTTTAATTCCACGAGGGGCAGGATATATGGAAAAGGTAGTCCTTCAATATGTCCAAGCTTTATTTGAGCAATGGTCAACTAAAAGAGTATGAAAACAATAATTCTGTTTGTAAGGAAAACAGGGCAAAAAATAAAAAAAATAATAATAACAAAATGGTTGCCAATTTCAAATACCAGTACTTGGCATTTTTTCAAACAGAAATCTGTTTAACTTATTGTTAATTAATTAAGACAAAAACCGAACTTAAAACATTAGATAAAAAGTAAAAATGATTAGAGCGTTTTTCAATTGAGTGTCGCAAAAACCAAAACCAAACCAATTACTTACCAGAGGGTGGCAAAGGGAGGGTACCAATCACGCATCATTCTGAATTTTTCTATTAAACCATGCATCGTGGAGAATGTTTTTCACCAATCACGCGTCACATAAAAAGAGGTAAGTACATAGCTAATTTTACTTTCTCAACCCTAAAAGCATCCTTAAAAGGAGAACTCTGGCGATTCAACCATGAAAATGAATCGGCAAATATTCCAAACATTTTCCCCTGAAAATAAAAGTGATGACCCATATGGGAGACTGGGAGATTTGATCTGTATCCATGACGCTCCTGGTTTTCACGGTCTGTGAACAGGCTTCCGATGAGTGGGAAAAAGGTAAAATAGGGCAAGCAAAGAAAGCCTGGTGAGGTAGGATTTTCCCCACTCCAGACCACTCTCAGCTATCTCTTCCCACTTGTTTTTTTCCTTCCCCAATACCACAATCAGGAGCCTGTTCACGGGCTAAGCTGGCAGAAATCTTGTATACGAATCGAGAAGATGTCTATGCCACCTTTTCCATGCTTTAATATACAGGCAATATTTTTGTCAAACCTTTACCCCTTTAAATCCTCTTCTGTGCAGCAATGTTTTTTTGTCTGTGAAGGACGTAACATGGCATGTGTAGTCTCTCTTTACTTAGAGAACTGCTTCACGAGTGGCATAAAATGACACCAATCTCTAATGTCTGTTATCATTTCAGCCCTTTTGGATGACATTCTTTCAGACCTTTCATACAATAGCAGGGATTCAGATGTGGTCTGATGCAATACCAAAAATGATC